TAAGGGAAAACTGATCCAGTTCAAAAGTATGTTCGGGAATTTATAGATCTGTAACCAGTAGACCACGGTGACAGCCTTTTCCACTCCTGTTCACACTGAGATCTGCTCCTGGCCATCACTTAATTTAAAAAAGGAAACACTAATTCATCCAAGTTGAATATGAACGACCTAGCCATAATTCGCCAATGCCGCATGACAACGGAAGATTACAGTTAATTCTGGAATACCTATGCGAAATCCTAGCGTGCACGGGTGTACCAGTGTGTTTGCATATGTTTTGGCAGCCGCAGAAAAAAAGCAAAGTCAAAGCCTTAATATGTTTATCTTTCCCACGAAAATATGATACATAAAGAGGAAATAACCAACGGCATTTGACTTTGGTAAAAGTCCCCATAGTGAGCGGACTTTACTAACTGCCGTTCACCTCAGGACAAAGTAAATCATAACAAAGTGGTCTTCCTCTAAAACGCAACCCAGAAAACAGTGAAGAGCCTAAACAGCTCTCTCAGCCAAAAGTAAAATAAATGTACATTCATGTATTCATTGATGCATCGCTTCAAATCTGCGTGGTGTGTGAAAAAATGACTAACAAACGTACTACGAATACTAAAGAAAACAAATGAGTAAAATCTATAGCAAATATCCCATGTTACGTTCCAAAGCACGGCAAACACTTCTGTTAATAACTCTACCAGGAAGACTTTTCTGTAGCCTGAAGAAAACTCTCCGCAACTCAGGATACCGTATTCTAACGAATGAGGTATTATATGATAGAAGGTGAGCTGAGATTCGTCGATCAACCTAGTATAAGCCAATAAAATAAGCTAATTAAACGGCAGCTTGACTATGTGAATCACTGCTGGCTACTATCAGTGCACTAAAAAGCCTAAAAATAACATCAGTATAACATGTGTCAATACTTCTGATCATATCGCTCCGGTCTTCTGTCAGTGAGCAAACGTCTAGGCCCCGATAGCTATTGCTACCTCAGACTAGGCAGGAAACTGGTTCGGATGAAAAAGTTCATTGAAAGTCCAATCAGTATTCTCCATCACTTACATACACACGTATACAGACCTGTGGGTTAATTAGACTTAAACACAGGCCCTGGAACATGACTGTCGTTCTTGAACGTTCAGAAGCCAGTTAGCTGTCCATTGTAACCAGTTCAAGACTCAATGGTGCAGCCGACAAAAATATTTTCTCACGTAAACCCCATGAATCGGTAATCCAGTGAGGTGTCAAGCTTGATTTCTGGTAGCAACACAATTTTAAAGGATCAGAAAAATACGAAAGCAACACCAGACCTATTCTGGAGAGTCTTCACACCACCACAGTCACCAGAAGCCTTCATCGCGTGTAGCAGGAGACCTGGCCATGTCGCTGGAAAACGAAATAATTTCCATGTTCATTCACCGAAACGGCTTATTCCAGTGAGTAAGGAAACTAGAATAGTGGAAATTAATGAGACCCGCCAAATTTCACCGGCAGCTTCTAAAGCAGCGTTCATGGTTCAGCGGTAGAATGGTTTCCAAGCATGCATATAGTCTGCATTTAAGCTCCCGGCCGACAGACTGCCAAACTTCGCTAAGCCAGAAGACAAGTTGAGAGGGAAGGTCCGGCGTGAGGCCAACAAGTTAAACATCTTAAAATATTCGTGTTTCTGAAACTCCAAAGCTGAGACCTGAAACTCTCTGCTCAGCTCGAAATGCAGAAGAACGACAGAAAAATAAACGGAATCCTCAAGGAGAAAGCAAACCGGTCCATCTGACACGATTTCTAGTCTGTCTCCGTCACATGGTGTACTGTCAAATGACTGGAACGATTTCACAATAACTCTATCCCTAAGGCAGAGTCTGGGCTCTGCTCTTCAAACTCTAGGTCTCTTAGTCCTGAATGCACGCTGATCAAGATGCTGGAAAGAATAATCACGAAGAAGATCGCTACATATTTCAGAAACAAATGCTTGTTATCTATCTCATAACACTATCTGAGGGTCTCCTTGTGTCTGGCAAATGTTCTTACGGTAGGTGGAGCTGAGTCAAGTTCAGAGAAAACATAGAACACACAAACTTCGTTTTTTTATTGATTTCAACAAAGTTCCCCATAAAGTGCCTCACACTACGTTGCTCAGGTAACTTGAAAGTCTAGGGATCAGGGACGACTTTCTTAAACGGATCAAGAAGCACTCAGAAGATTGGAGGCATAAGGTTAAGGAGAAATCAATTCTTTTCCTGAGAAAGGTTACATAGTGGTGTATCTCATAGCACTGTACTCACACCCGCCAATTATTTATGCTCTAAATGGACGAGTTGATTGGACTTACCATATATCCCATAGTTCTCTGCACATCTAGCCAAAAAAATAGGGAGAGAACTCAAAGCTGACACCTGCAGGCTTACATTACAAGGGGTTCTGAGCAGACTATTAGATTAGTCCAAAGAATGAATGTTCCAAATCAACGTAATGAGGTGCGCAGCCAACAGCATTCGGTATGTAAGTGTCGGTTGATATGAAACTGAAGTAGTACCTTTTCCTGTAGTACAGCCGCTGCAATAGCAATTCCTGACCTAAAAACAGTGGCGAACGGTTGCTCTTTTGCAGCTCAAGATTTTTCGATTTATGTGGACAATATGCGTAGCGTTTACTAGAACTACCAGTGAAGCTTTCACCCTTTTGTGTACATCTTAGCTGGGTTCGAAACTGTAAAACTGCATCCAAAAGCGTTGCCATTGTCTCAAGTGAGCGAACCCCAAAAGCTTGTACCGATTTATGTCGGAAATAAAATCAACCATTCTAGGGCATGCGCCTTAGTAGGCCCAAACGGACAATATCTCACTAGTCTGGAGATAGTGTAAACATTCAATTTAGCCTTTGCCAAACGGTTAAATAGTAATATGGGTATTACTGGCATGGACCAAAATGGCGACACTACTATTTCACCGGAGGAAGACATAATGGCTACTCCCCAAATAAACCCGGCAATAGCACTAAAGAAGATACAGAGACTCGCACCTGGGAAGTTCCCAGGTTGTGACGACATCAGACCATCTGTTCTGAAGCAGTGTACCGAAGCTCTCTGTAGGCCCTTATGTGACCTGTTCCAACACTCAGTGGATTCTGAAAACTGCCAAGGGAGTGGAAAAGAGCCATTCTTTCCCGGATCTTCAAGGGTGGGGATAGGCATAATGCCACTAGTTACAGACCAGTAGCCCCACTCCCAGTGGTATCAAAAGTACTGGAAAGTATTATTGACGATCACATCAGGGATCACCTCGATAGGTCTAATATACTGCATGAAGCCCAACGCGGTTTCAGGAAAGACAGGTCCTGTGTTACAAACCTACTATCAGTTTGGGACGATTGGACGCCATGCTGACATATTAATGTTCCAGTCCATATGGTATCCCTAGACTTTGGGAAGGCATTTGACGCAGTTCACCATGACCTTCTCCTACACAAAATAAGTCAGGCAGGTATAGGTAAGCCATTTCCGTCGCGGTTAAAGGAATACCTAGCTGAAAGGCAATTTTGCACTAAGGTCAGTCGAGTACGATCACCTTGGCACAGCGCGTCATCAGGAGTGTCGCAGGGTTCAATCCTAGGACCACTGATGTTCTTGATTTTTATCAATGATCTACCATGCTGTCTAAGCTACCCGACTCTTCTATACGCTGACGACGTGAAGATATGGAGGGTGATAAAAGGCCTGGAGGACTCAGATAGGCTGCATGCAGATCTAAAGCTTCTGACAGTCTGGGCGGTGACCAGTGGCATGACTTTCAACCTGAAAAAGTGCAAAGTAGTGGAGTTACGCACCTGTAGACTGCAGAATGCAAGTTACAACCTGTGCAATGAAAGCTTGTCCTGCACAACGTCGGAGCGCGAATTAGGTATAGTTCTAACGACAATAATGGACACAAGCGTAAATTACACGGGGATGTAGCGAGGGCATATGCGGTCATACACTTTACACATAGACAATTAGCTGCACTCACTCCTGAGCTCTTTCTAAGGTTGTATAAAACATACGTCAGAACGCATCTTGAAGTGCATAATATCATTGCACCCCCACTGCTTAAAAGAGACGCCAACCTCTTGGAAAGAGTCCAACGGCGGGCAACAAAAGGAGTGGTTAGTCTCCGAAATAAACCATATGACGAAAGGCTGAAGAAATTAGGCCTATTCACACTCAGTTACCGTCGCCTGAGGGGGGATTTAATTACTGCCTACAAAATAACAAATGATCAGAATCACCCAAACAAAGGTGTTCTGCCATTGAGTAGGTATAGTCTTCCTCGTGGAAGTCCCAGGAGGATAGCTTACCAAAGGGCAAGGAGTCGGGTGCGCTCCTACTTTTTTCACTGCAGGTTTGCCGTCCCTGGAATTCCTTACCGGCAGAAGTAGCTATTGCACCGTCTGTGGACGCTTTTAAGCAAAGGCTGGACAATCATGCAGCGACACAAGGACTGCGCCCAAATGACCTGTCCCCTTAAATCCTATACACCATTCGAGGGTAGACAACTAAGTTTGTCCTTTTCTTTCTTTACATTCTCTCCCGTCTTACTCTACTAACAACTCTAAGTACACTTATTATTAATACCGATATATATACAGCTTCAAATTTAATCAGCTGTCTGTTTTTACGTTTTCTTTATTTCTTATTCTGCCTGTTAGTCTGAATAACTTCACTAATTATATCTTTTATTATTATCTGTTTTCTTTTGACGACGATACTGGAGGACTAACTGGTGAAAGGATCAACTCCATTCACAGTAGTATTAGTCTTAACACACCTCATACTACAAAACACCTGTAGTTAATCCCACCACTACTCCTTTGGGAGTCAACCAAAGCTACGACAGTCGAGTGGCAGGACGAGATACACAGTAGTCTAACGAAGATCAGGAACCTATACCTCACAATCAAGAGCTGGGCGCAAAGAAATCAAATTGGTTTATACTAGTTCGTAAATACTATATTGGATATTGGAGGTAGACATTGAAGAAAAGAGGGAATTTCAGAGAATGCGTTACTGGAGACAGATTGTTAATGATATTCGGTGTCATTGTTCTTAATAAGTTGTACGTGTTTACTTAACATATGTTAATTTTTTTATTTAAAATTCTTGCGACGATATCTTAGGCCACTATTTTTTGATACATATGTTTTATGGCCAACGACTGGAATTCCTTACCTGATTCATTAGTATCAGCTCCATCGGTGAACGCTTTTAAAGAGAAGTTAGATCTCTGCAAATATATATTTTGCAAGGATTAACGCAGGCCACAAGAGACTTCTATTCTTCTCATCTGAATCTGCCCTGTCGCTAAATGCATACATAGGTATATATATATATGTATACATATATTGTAAGCTTTAAAGAAACTTTCTGTACAGAAAGTTTTAACTAGGTTACTAACATACTGTTAGCTCCAGTGCAAAGGCCAACATATCTCACAAATTTAGAAATTAATTAGTTGTAAACTGAATTTGTCGAAAAGAGTACTCTTTGTTCCGTGTCTATTCTTTTGAAAATTTTAATGGGCATTTTTAATCAATGAAAAACAACTGTTAGTTTTAATGATCACGCTCCACGTAGATCGTGAATGGGAAACGTACGTTCATCCTTCACAGCTTCAGCAAAATTTTCTTGTAGAATTTTTGTTGCACAGAAGAATGTAGTGTTTCTGATGATTGTGTGAAAATTTGTAGCATTTAGTGCACTGATTTTTGTCAATTACATGTGAAATTTCGTGACTAGATTTCTGGAGTGAAAGAATGAAAATTTTATTATATCTGTGTGGCATGTTTGCTATCGGCTTGCAGCTTGGCCTGACTTACCTTGTCAATCCATTGTATTCTATGATGAGTGATGTTTCTTAACATTCGGATTAGGCTGGTAGAAGACCAAACTAAACTTGACATCGATCTATGGAGTTATTGACTCTTAGCATGGTCGGCTTAGAAAATTTAGGTTGTGACTGATTTTCTCGGGATGCTAATAGCCAGTCTTTGGAGTCTTGTTATCAAGGCTTAAAACCGATGGCACTCGTAGAGAAGTATTCTCGTACTGCCAGCAGGAAGTTTTTGAGTAGTTTTACTTACTCCTTCCTTTGCTTCCTTCTATTCACTGTAGTATCATCTAATTTCTCCTTCATTTTGTGATGTTCAGAGTTGTAACCAGCTACTGTAATTTTTTAGCCCCTACTTTAAATACGAAACAGCTAAAGCAGTATACGATAAGATTAATTAGTTACTTTCACTAAAAGTTGATGAATTAAGTTAGACGAATTGAAAATTTTATACAAATATTCAGCATTAATGTGAAATGCTATGATGAGGTTTAATGTTGTTTGAAAACATGGCATATTTCGGACTGTCATTTTTAAGTATTGAAACAGTGGATAAAGGATTAATTGGAATGAGCATACTGCAAAATGAATGGTAAGGCCTTTCGCCAGACAAACGTTTCTTCTAACTTGTTTTCACTGAAACCTAAGGTAGTTCAGGTGATGTATGTCCAACATGTCGAGTGAATGAAGTACTAGAGCATGATAAAATTTGGCTCAATGATTACAACATAAAACTTTCAAATGATGGAACGCAGGTTTAGTGGCTTGTCTCATCAAACTGCGAGGTGGGTATCTTCCATCTTAGCTCACAAGCATGTGATCAGTTTCTTGTTTTCTCTTGTTGATATTATGTACTGGTCTAAAAATATTTTTCAGTGTTATATGCTACTATCCAACGAGACGGATTGAAGGTATAAGCGTCTTTTAAATAAAATTAAAAGGAAATATTTGGAACATATTTTCGTCAATTCTTAGTTTTATTCTTCACTTTAATATATCAAGTCAATTCATGTATTGTTTTCTTATTATTTTTTCGTATATATACAGAAACCAAATGATTAGATTTCCTGATGTTATCGTATCTAATCCTTAAATATGTTGCAAAGCTTGTTTATCATAAGCCGTTCAAAGTAAGTATTAAATTGCCTTTTTTATGTCTTAGTGAAATATGTTTGGAAAAACACTGGACAAAAAACATCTCAAAAGCTGTTTGTGATAATTTTTTCGATGCTGTAGCGAAATGTACATCAGGGGATGTACCACCTATTCTGGAAGCTTCTAACAATTCGCTTATTCATATTTTGCGCAATAACTTGTATTTTCTCGCTGTATGTACTAATGAGAGTATGTTCTTAAAATTTATGGGTTCTTATTTTTCTAGTACCTCCTCTACTTGTGATAGAATTCTTAGACTGTGTAAGCTCAATAATCGAGGATTATTTCGGCTCTGCTACTGAAACGACAGTCAAAGAAAATTTAGTCTGCATATACGAGGTTAGTTTTCCCACCAAATCAGCTAGAGTTTAACTAGATTTTAGATGAAATGCTTGATGGCGGTTTTCCTTTAGCCACAGAACCGAATATTCTGAAAGAGATTGTGCGTCCTTCTAATTTCCTTCAATCACTCACAGATGCAGTTACCGGAAAAAACACAAACGTTGGCTCAACGCTTCCAACCAATCAGCTATCAAATATACGGTGGAGACGTTCTGGTGTTAAGTACACAAACAATGAAACTTATTTTGATTTGATTGAAGAGATTAACGCAATTATTGATCGTTCTGGGTATGCGATAACCAAGGAGATTCATGGATCAGTAAGTATTTAATATTTAATCTTAAATCTTTGAAGCAGATTTGCTGAAACCACTTTTTTTATACTTATTTACTCTCATTACGGGTGTTTGCATACTGCTTTGATAGGATTTCTGTCTTTTTTCGGTTTAAACCTGAACCACTCAAGATTACTTTATTATTGTTATTACTTGAAGTGCGATGATGTGCGTCGGTGGCACAGTGGTTAGGACTCTCGCCGACCATGCACATGGTCCGGGGTTCGATCCCCTGCCGGCGCACACCCGATATCTTTGGTCGGCCTGAATTTGGGCTACCGATATCCATGCTGAAAGTTCCATACTTGTACTGAAAATACGGTGTGGAATCAAGCTGTAAATCAAAATAAAAAAAATAAAATAAAGTATACTTGACTTAACAAAAGATCGCCTGTATTCGACATTTCAATCTCATGTTTCTTCCTCAAACATTTAGATAATATTTATTGTTCCTCTTTTATCGTTTCAATATTGCTCTAAACAACGTTAGTAAAAGATATGGACTGACCTCATTACCAACAATGATGTATAGACAGAACGCACAAATATTTTGTGTCAATTTGCGAGTTTTGTTTCCTGTTTAAGGTCTTTTGGAGCTCTTTGGTTTCAAAAAAGATTAGGTAGAGCTAATTTAAACAGACATTCAAATTTAAAAGAGCACTTAGTTTGGAATGATTATGTTTAGTTTAACACCAGGAAATGTCGATATATATATATATATGTTTCTGTAGGTTTGGGATAAATACTTACTAGTATTCATATTAAGGTACTAATCGTGTATAACAATTATAAAATTACCCGATTTAATGAATTATTTAAGCATATTATCAACCAATGCCCATTCCACATGGGAATTATCTATAGTGATTTAATGTACATTAGAAAAACAAACATCAAGATAGACCATACTTGGTTGGTTACTAGGGAAATAAAACAAGTCTATCACTTGAATAAATACTGAATTCAAAGTTGGAAGATGGGCCGATAAGAAGTTTAGCGGATTGTAAACATAAATTCCCAAAACTTCCATTCAGTATAGTTTTCAGCCCCAAAGTAAGTGGATGCTGCTACAGCATAATTTTAAACAAATGTGAATTATATCGGTCGCTAAGAAAACTCACTATGAAGCTGATTTTATTTTGGAGGGAACGAAATCCTAGGCCCAAAATGATAATAATAATAATAATACAATAGCTTTATTCTGGACAGTGTTTATATAATTTACAGAATTTTCAGTGAAGTTTATTGCATGATATTTTCTCTTCGTACACTGGCTTCAGATAAATTATTAATCGACATTAGGTCCTCTAACACAATGTTGTCTGACCTGAAACACAAACTAATCTATTAAGATATTTATTCTTTATTTCCTTAAAGAAGTATGCACGACATTTAGTTGAAACCCAGTTGTAAAAAGTTCGAGAGGACATTTTGAGATCCAAATACATAACTCAGGAACGATTATTTCATGCATTTTTGGATATGTTGTCCCCCCCTCACGATTTGTATTTTACGTAATTCTTTTGAATCATCCTATTCTTCTTAATCACCATTATTTTACAGATTTCTTGATTATGTAATGACTTGTTGCTAACGCCTAATAATTAACTTATCTTGAATTCCGTAACTAATTTTCACCCTCCTTCCAAACTTAGATATCTTGTTACTAATATCTATCAGTTTTAATTGTTGTGATAACTTTTCATTTTTCTCGTGTCTTTTCTCTTGACCACAACATTCAAAAATGAGGTTTTTATGTTTGACCATTCTTCTCTTTTAAATTTTATGTCGTTGAATAAGTTGTGAATACCCTCTTAGTCAATTTTTCCAATTACGACGAATTTGTCGTCCATGTAATGTATCTAGATTTTTAATTTGATTTCAGGTAAAACTATGGTTTTTAGTCTTTGCGTGACATCTTCGACAGTTAGTTTTGTTGTAGGTGTTTTCATCTGTAAATTTGATTATGGAGTTGAAAATATGTTACAAGACATGAATCAAAGATTCAGTGAATCAGCAGCAAACACGTACATTCGAAATAACGCAATGCTTATACCGGATATATATATATATATATATATATATATATATATATATATAGAACGAATAACAAGGGTGAGACAGAAAGCTTATGAAGCAAATTATGAAGCTACTTGAATAGATTGATGTAGTTATAAGTAATAAATTGTGCTTGAAACGTCATCCAGTTATTGATACTTTACTTTTTATCAAATAAACTTCTGTAATATGGAATAATTACACTTTGTTGAACGTTCATTTTAAACATATTTAGTCCTGTTTTTGTATTATTTGGTTATAGGTTGAATGTCTTGTCAAACTGTCTGGGACTCCAGATATGACGCTGGCTTTTACAAATCATCGCCTAATTGATGATGCTAATCTACATCCATGTATCCGATTTTCACGGTGGAAGAGAGAACGGATTTTATCCTTCATACCACCTGATGGAAAGTTCTGTCTTTTTAAATACCACGTAAACTCACTAAGGTAAGTTGAAAGTATTATTGGTTGAAATAGTTCTTATTATGTGCGTCTATTTATTGCCTATCTCTGAACCACGGAAATTGAGAGGATAATTAAATTGACACCCTTAAATCACTAAATTATGGAAATCAAAATAAACGTGTTACTTAGAATATTATCGTTTATATACTGTTGGGCAATCAAGGGAGATCTGTAGGGTGTATCATCCCTCTATTTCAGATATTCAGACATTGTCTTATTCAAGATTGTAGTTTAGAAGGTTCATCAATTAGTTGTCTGGGAAGTGGTTGACATTCTATGGGCTGCATGACCTACATATTAGTCGATCTGTTTGGTATAACTGGTGTCTACTTTCAATTAATGAATCAAGTGAATTTCACACTGCCATCACCATACTAGGTGTCTCTACATGTTGGTGTGTCTTGTTGAATGTTAGGAGGCATTCATCAAGTTTATGTTTTTCATTATTTTGCGTTTTCATTATATAAAACACCTAACTGATAACTTTTTCGCAAGTGTTATACTAACTTCGACCAAACAGAAAGGTGAACACTGCATTCAAGTTTGCAGGTGGTGAAAATTGTATGGAATTACTTTTGTTTTACGATGATTTAGTGTTTTATGATGTTTAAAGACGCTCTCAATGTTGCAATAGCCACTCTTGAAGATGTGAATCACTGGGTAGAGGTAGTAAAACTTCTTACGAAATTGTATGGAATATAAAATACACACGATAAAGTTTAATTATTTTCCAGACATTCTTAACTCTAAGTATTAGGATTGTGCGTCGGAGGCACAGCAGTTAGGACGCTCGCCAACCATGCACATGGTCCAGAGTTTGATCTCCGGTCGACGCACTCCTTAACCTCGCTAAGCCAGAAATAAAGCTGGTAAAGAGGAAAAGTTGGGCATGAGGCTAGCAACCCCATCCTGTAAAAATAATCACCACTGCTACCGAAACTTCGAGCCTCTAGTTTGAAGCCCTATTTTCCACTGGGAACGTGAAGGAATAAAAAAAATAATTAAAAATTGGGAAAAGGTGAGTGGAGAGTACCGAAACTTTCTGAACAACCACAAAATAAACTGCAAATATTTTCTATATTTTTAACAGCAGTATTTCCAACTAGTAGTTCCTTTTATCATTTGTAAGAAGCATATGAAGCAACTGTACATCAAATGTGATCACTTTGTAATTTACTTACATGGCTATATTGTTTACCATAAATTATTTAGCTACAATTTTGATTCAGTATCTTTCCTCTGCTATCAAGAGACGAATTTTCTTTTCAAAAATTTATTTCAGCCCAGTTTCTCTTCCTATTATACTACGACATAATGTTCTTCTTCGTGAACATGGAGGTCGTTTGGATGTAGTTGTGGTACCAAAAACAATGAATAAACCCGTAAGTAAATTTTTATGTTAATTAGCTAGCCAGAAATCGAGTGGTTTGAACTGATTCAATTTTTTGACTTAAGTTCAATCTGGTACACCTCTGATGAACTCGACGTCGAACGAGCGAAACGGCCATCCGGTGTTTAGATCAATTCAGTCTTGCCAGCAAGCACTACTGGTTGGTGTGAGTGGCATACAACTATTCAGTCTCAATCAATCAGTAGTATATCGTTTATTTTACGCATTTATGTTAATTAATATTTGTAGTTTAGTAACTACGTGTCACGGTGTGGTGAGAGCTGTCTGCAAGCCAAAATTGTAGACAACAATTTATGTCAATGTTTACGTCCCGAATCGGGGTCATGAGAAAAAACAATAACAAAGCTTAACCTTGAGGAACTCACTAACCAATCACAGCAGACTTAACGTGTGCAAATACGACTCGCAGGTATATGGCTTAACTTTCTAAGAAACGGTCACAAGCAGTACAGAATAACCTTCAGCAAGAAGGCAACCAATCAGAAGACGTCCTCGGTGACAATAATGTACATAAAAATCTATAAATATCTCTTGATTTTCTCAATAAACGATCTGTTGCTTGGCCCTTGTCTTCTGTCGTTACAACGCAAGCTCTGTATTCCATACAGAGTGCAAGGAATGAATAGTAGTAACAGTAATAATAAATAATGTAACATCTACATTTAATTGTGGCCTGCAAAATTCACATCATTCATACCTTATTTTAATACTAGGAGCTGTGCTTCATTGGTCTAGGCGCTCGACCTCCGACCAATCGGTCACGGTTCGACTTCCGTTCCACTTACCGAGGTTTGGGCAACCAGGTAGTATCTCTAGCCCTCACATCATAGGTATGGCTCATCGCCAATTGCATGGAATTACAATTAGTTTCTGAGTAACATAATAATAATTCTTTTATTGCTAAGTTTTTCAAATTATCACCTATTCAATAATGTGTTTGGAAAGAAAAACTTTATAATTTCAGCCGCAAGTAAACTTTACTTATGAATGTGTTTCTAGGATGATTTTACTTGAATAAACACATGCATCTTCATTTGAAACATCAAAAGTATTCATTGAGTCGTGGAAAAAAGTAATAAAACACGATTCGGCTAAACAAATTTCCCGTATCGATAAAGTCTCCTTAAAAGGCTATACGGTCGTATTTATATTCACTAAAATATATAGCAATCTACTATTAAATGATAGAATGGGGAGTGACATAAGTAATGTCATTATTAAGAAGTATATTCTAAAGATAGATAAAATTTGTGTAATGACAAGACATTGGAAGTGAACGTGTAAGATTTAACAAGGTGTAAAAATACTTTTGGACAATTCAAATCAACAGTCCTAAACAGGCTGTCATTAATATATTATTACGAAGATAAATGCCAATCACTTCATGTCTGTTTAAAGTAGAAAGCAATCACGTGAGATCTTACATAACAAGAATTTAGTACTCATCTTTCAGGATAAATTCGCTTGTAAAATCCTCATGAGTAGTCAGAATTACAATGATAAAATTCGGTCCATCAAATAAGACGAGAATAAATTTTCAAAAAGGTTCATTCAGGAAGGTCAAACCGAATAAATGGAAGAAAAACGTGAATATACCGTGAAAAAATAAAAACTCAGTCAATCATTACCTCTTATTTATTTGGACAGTTACGACCCACATGTTCTGTAATTCCGTATTCATAAGGTCTTGCGAAAGTGCTTGAAGAGAAAGAGCAATAAAACAACAACGTAAGGCCATGGAGTTCTGATGTGTAATTACAGACTAGATTGATAGTCTTTGATTGAACACTAGTCACCAGTGTGATATGTCTAGTCCCTTTTTTGGTGCAGACTGTATTCTGTCAATCAGATTTGCAATGCAGGCACCATTCTAGGTAGCTTACCATCACGGTGAACATTGATTTGATGATATTAGATGGTTGGACGCAATCGGCAGAAAGCATTGGACCGTGATGGTGAGCCACCTAGGAAGGTGGCCACATTGAAAACTCGACTGATAGAATTCAGTGTGCACCACAGATAAGACCAGACATATCACACTAGTTACTGGTGTCCAATCAAGGTATCTAAAACAATCCTACAGGAGGTCAGTCGCGAGTCCGAATAGCTCAGTGGTAACGTCTCTGACTGCAGCACTGGGTGACACGGGCTCGATTCTCAGAAGCGACATGAGTTCCTTCAAGGTTGCAGATACGCCTTGCTCACGAGTACCAACTAGCACGAAACCTAGGTGGAAGGCTTCCTGCCGATTTCCTCCAACCATCTAATAGCATTAGAATGATAGTCTGCCAGTCACAACTTAAATTACACAATTATCGGTTATTTGGATAACCAATCAATCAAATTTCACTTGCTTACAAATCAGACCAATGTTTGCAGTGTAATATATTTTTGTATGACCATTGTAATTATAGTTTTGTAATTACCATACTTCTCATTTCGGACGTTGGAAACACACGTTTCCAATATTAATGTGTGAGTCTTCTTGAAATTACTAGTTCGGATAAAGAAAAATCTACTAGGAAATCATCAAGCTTATATTGTTGTTAACCTCATTTATGCGAAGATTCACCAAACATTAGAGGAGTTTACACTAAAATTTTGAATTCGTTTGTTGCTTGGGGAGATAAAAAATATGTACCTTAGATATTCATTCACCGTTATGTTAAAGGCTGGTAAAAATAAATATGTTGTCGAAACTACAATTTCCATAGCAAGCTTCACCTCATGATTCACAGCCAAGTACATAAATTATTGAGCAGAAGTTGGACAACGTGTATTTTTCGGACAAAACTTGCATTATTCTACCAAGCTTTAGTCTCATACATCTAGACCATATTCGACGGAATTGTTTTAGACTTGGATATGGAAAACTATTAACTGATCTCTATCGCACAATGGTTTTACAAAGTGAAATAAAGAAAACATGATTATCATAGCACTTAATTTCAATTAGGCATCCAGTTTTCTCAAGCTAAGCTGTTTGATATTTTGAAATGAGAATTACTAGAAATAAAGAACATTCATTCCAAAATTAAACTGTCGTATTATTATGATTGAAACAGCATTGAAGTAAAAGTCAACACGTAAGCAATTTTTGGGCAAGTTGAACAAAGTAGTAAACAGCTACAAATATAGGCGTCTAAAACATTACATTACATTATGGACACCAAGAAATGCGCTACACAGAATCTCCTATTTTATGGGAGAGCTGCGATACTGCCAGGATGCCCAGACTGGAGCAGATGGTTGTCTTAAATGGCCAACCCATAGCCCTTGACATGCAGTGTCATCCACAAGGCAGTAGAGCATTGTCAGGAGCTATATTCCCATGGTTTCGGGTGACCAGAACAGGTTCATATTCCATTCGATCCTTTCGGATTTTGGAGCCTATGTACACCGTAGGTTTGGAATCAGGGTTTTCCAGCTCCCTTAGGTAGACTTGTATGTCCACCAGTCTGGTTTTAAACGCCAGACGTTTTCATTCGCCCTCTCAATTTTGTGAGGAACAAGTTCATATCTAGTGGTGTGAAAAAGGGCAGTGTCTATATAATCTTCATTATTAAATAACGAAACGTCAGTAAAGGCAACATCACTTTGTTTTTTCATTCATTGGGAAATATAAATTATTTCTAAATAGTAGCTTGAATATTAACTGACTGAATTATAAAGACTCTATTCCTAGTTTAGTGTATTTCCTGACACTTTTTGTGAGTTGAAAATAATAGTTTTAATTATGTCATATACTAATAATGTTTTCTCAAATTTTACTAATGATGATATTGTGAATTTATTTAGTTTACTTTCTACTTAATATCAATGTGGATTTCATCGTGTACCAACATCAGTTAGAGAAAACTATTATCGGCTACTGAATGGATGTCCTGAAGTTATAATGTGAACTTGTGACCAGTAGGGACCACTATGTTAGGGTGAAGTGGGATAGTCATCGAAGTTATCGGTTGGCGGTAGAACTGTGTCTTGAATTGACAGAAGTTAGAATTCACGGATTATAGGATTCCAACCTGGGCCTTGTGCCTGGAAGGTCCGGGTTCGATTCTTGTTGAGGTGATGGGTGTTCACTGCTGAAAAGTCTGAAACTAAGACAAAGCAGCTATCTAGTACTCCCTAGTTTTCATTGATTGTCTAACTGATGCTAGTTAGTGACTATCAAATATCCAGGTCTCAGAGGTCCTGGACGTGTTGCTGGTTTCAGAAGACAGCCTAATACTCAGGATACTATGCACTTTAAGCGACGCAGAACAACAGAAAACGGTTGGTCAACACGATTGTTTATTCCTCAACCGATAGCGAAACAGATTTACAATGGTTAATCAGTTCCGAAGTCTGTAAGTAAACGTTAATATACTGTACAACAATACTTCCGACCGTATTTCTCGAATCTTTTGCCAACCAGTACACGATTAAGCAATGACAACCTTCTTGTCTCCCGCCAATATGGAGACCAGTTCGAACAAACAAGCAATTCAATGTTCACCAGCATTAACAATGACAAAATCCGTACTGAAGTTAATCCAAATCCATGCGAAACCTATAATCTGTTGATATTTAATACATAGAAATATGTGATAATCGGTGTATTTTTATCAATTATTTATGTTTAACTGTTATAGGTTGAAGGTGTAAAACTTACTATTCAACTACCACCTGAAGTTTTAAATATTACCGCAACCCCTAATGTTGGACGAACTAGTTTCGATGTGACAACCAAACTATTTCAATGGGACATTGGTCGTATTGAAGCAAAATCTGTTAATCCTTCAATGAAAAGTACAGTAAGTCTTTCACCTAATAAATTCTTAATTTGATTACTGTTCTTTTGTCATAGTAATAAAGCATTTCTTAAGTTTCTTTTATTTGTAGTTTCTAGAACTGCTTATTTCATTTTTTTTCACTGGTAGTAGAATTCCTCAAATATCTGCAGTTCAGTGCAGGTTTTTGTGTTTCACAAACATTTCCATAATCAAATTCTCTCTGCATAATAATATCTTACTTCAATACTCTTACCCTGGCTCATGGCCGGCTACTGACTAATTGAATCCTAACTAACGCTCATTCTGTCCGATTCTGTAATGTAATTATGAATCATTGCATGCATTGCAATACCTGCTACTCATAGTACTAAAACCTATTATTCTCTGTTTATCTAACTAAATTGATTAGCTTGGATTTTACACACTTGACTTGAAAGTCAATTCATAAATATGATGCATTAAATTATCATTTCTGTTTAATTGTACAGAATCCTTTACGCTGCAAAGCTCATGGGTTTAAATACTGTTACTACTTCATCTTTGTAAAAATTCTGTTGAAAAAATCCGTTCGTTTTTAGACAACACCTAAGAGTCTTACAACTCTCACCTAGCTGTTGAAACGCTAATCAGTAAGTAAGGAATCTTCATTTCGACAAGCTATACTGTCTACATCTTTTAAAAGTTCCAGGAAATAATTTTTAACAATAACTTTTTCTGTGATGGTAAGGATTCCTCTTTAAACTTTTTGAATTACTATCTTGAATCTTGTCTTAATTTCACCAAATTTAACGTAACATATATCAGGCCGAAGTTATCTCAGATTCGAACATCTGTCAAGATTTGATGGCTTTTGGTAAACACTTACATCCAAGCATTTTCGTTTTCTTTTCATTTTGTAGAAAAAAATAATAAAAAATAGATGATTACAGCGGAGAAAATTTTCTTTACGACGAAGTCATTAACTAGGCTGTACATTCGCAAAATACACAACTAAGAGGTGAGAAAGTTCCTAAAGTATTTCCCGTTAAGGGATTATTTAATTATAACAAGATGACGAAATTGTGCAATACAAGTAGGGATTGAATAAAAACGTAATGATAAGGAAAATAAAAAGGAAGTTTGGGTAAATAACAATCGGATAATAATTATTGAGAAGATTCGCTGTTTTCGATGGCCATGGTAAAGACAAAGATTGGACGTGGTTCTTTTGCATACAAAGCGTTGGCTTGAATTTTAAGATCACTAATGCTTCAGTTATGCCTGAATGTCTTGATTTCCCTCCCTTTGAAGTCTTGTACGGGACTTTGAAGGACTTTTCGAATGAAGCTATGATGTGAAATACAAGCTGTCGCACTGGACCACATCAACATGCATATACTAGTTCTCTTGCACATGTAGGGCTGAGTACATTGGCCATACCATACTCTCGCTTGTAGAATATACTCGGGAGTACTATCCAGCCTGGCTAGCGAAGGGAGAACGTTTCTTCTATCTTGGTAACAGAACATCTCAGAACAGAACTCAGGACATCTAGTTCCATTTGAAAAATCCTCCGAAGTCCCGTACAAGATTCAAACAAACCTTTCAAAGGGAGGGAAATCAAGACATTCAGGCATAGCTGAAGCATTAGTGATCCTAAAATTCAAGCCAACGCTATGTATGCAAAAGAACCACGTCCAATCTTTGTCTTTACCATGGCCATCGAAAACAGCGAATCTTCTCAATAATTATTATCCGATTGTTATTTACCCAAACTTCCTTTTTATTTTCCTTATCATTACGTTTTTATTCAATCCCTACTTGTATTGCACAATTTCATCATCTTGTTATAATTAAATACCCTTAACGGGAAATACTTTAGGAACTTTCTCACCTCTTAGTTGTGTATTCACGAATGTACAGCCTAGTTAATGACTTCGTCGAAAAGAAAATTTTCTTCACTACAACCATCTTTTTGTTTTTTCCTACGATCTAATGTGTACATTCCGCAAATTTCCATTTTACTTTGCAGTCTAATGTAGATAATTCGCACTTCTCATATTTTAATCCATAAGTGAAGTAGATTTCATTTACTAACCAACTTTAGGTATATTCGAGCATTTCAAGTTATGTGTATATGTCTGCCAGACTTTTGGACTGACTGAAAATGTTCTGGATCCCCGCGTTCTTACGATTTTGAAGAGAAGAGATCCTATTGATAATCATTTTTTTATATATCTTGTGAACCTTAGTTCTAAATGTACCCTCCACTCATGAATCTAGTCCCATCACTTAGCTTGTAATTGAGACTTAGTTCATTTCTAACTTTTTTAAAGTAACTTTATTTTGTTTTCCTTCACGTTCCCAGTGGAACATAGGGCCTCAAGCTAAATGCTTGAAGTTTTTGTAGCAGTGTTTAATTTTTGCAGGATGGGGTTGCTAACCTCATACGCAACCTTTCCTCTTTACCAGTATTATTTCTGGCTTAGCGAGGTAAAGGAGTGCGTAGGCCGGGGATCTAACCCCGGACCATGTGCATGGTCGGCGAGCGTCCTAACCGCTATGCCACCGACGCACTTAAAGTAACTCATTGTGTAAAAAAATGGTCATTTTTCTTCCACCTCTAAATATGCAGTTCCTGGCTTTCTTTTTGTAATACTTGCATCTTTCACTACTATGTGTTATCACATTAATAATTGAATAATTGAAATTCATAAGTTATTCATGCGTTTTACCTATGTTTTAGAAATCTTTTGTAATAGTTGGGTTATAACAAGACCTTTTCTTGTATGTTTATTATTCTTATAGATTAATTTGATTAGTGGACTCACTACACTACCTTCAAATCCTGTGATACTTGTTAACTTTTGCATTCCACAATTTGTTGCTTCTGGCCTAAAAATCGCTAGAGTTGATATCTATGGCGAGGTATGTTTTTCTTATTCTACTAATATATTTTTTACCTATTATATTCTATATATAATGTTAAATTCAATACCGTCTGTAAGATTTCCTTTTGGGCAATGGATTAGACGTTTCGGTGGTTGTTTGTATGTTAAACACCTGGTTAATTAGCCACACTTTATTGTTATATCCATAAGCACACTTGGATTTGAATCCAGTTGTGTTTGAATGGTGTACAAATAAATTATTTTTGTCTTTCCTTTTGATTTTGGAGAAACCTTAGCAGTGTTAAAAAATTTATAAATTTCGAGAAGCAATCCAAACTACTCATAAGTAGTCAACTTACAATTCAAGAAATATACTCGCTATTTCTACTGGTTTAACGCGTTGCAAGACATATAAATGCTTCTTTTTAGTTGTAGATAATATTTTATACAGTTCAATATATAATTTTAAATTTTCCTAATCCCTATAATTTGTTTGTCTTACTGAATTTCACCACGTAGGGTCTGTATGCCTTGCAGTGTAGACATTTTAATCTTTGCAATTCCGTGTCACTCTCTTCACTCTTTATTTTTCGCTTTGATTTCTGTATATTATGTCGTTTATGTTCCTAAATAACCGTATCATAACATATTCACAATAGAGATGTATATGTGTAGTAAATCTATTCAACATGTATGAAGTCTTTCAAATGCCAGTTGAGTAGAATTTTGAGTTTGTTTTTGTTAATACATTCATCGGATTCACTTGAGTAGATTTGCCCTGCTACGATTTATTACATGATAGCTTTATTGTTTTTACTCCGTATATATAAGATCATTTTATACTTTCTTTCCAAATATTCTGCTTTTGTTTCATTTTTTTATTCAGAAGTACAAACCATTCAAAGGAGTTAAATATGCTACGAAAGCCGGCCAGTATGAAGTACGCACATAATCAGCTTAGCGGTTCATTCAGATACTATTGTATAGTATGCGAGGTTTTTTCATGACATCATTGGGTATTTGAATTTAACGCTGAATTGTGATTTCCTTGTTTGTATTTTGTTGTTATTGTTGTTGTTTTTTATTTTGTTGATTTATGTACACCTTGCTTTATTTGATCTTGTTAATTAAATCAATACTTCCATGCTTTTTGTTTTGGTAGCTGCTATGTGGTGATGTGTTATGATGTAGTACTTAGTTGGATTTTAGGATAAACTGAAAGTTTTATGATTTGTATAGCGTTACATTAGTGCTACGGAAAGATGATCTTTTCTTAAATTGTATCATAAGATTACCATGTTAAAAATATCATAGAAAAAGCTTTTTTGAAAGGATTGCATAGCTTTGTGTGACGCTTCAGTTTATCATATTCCTCATCTCTATATCTAACATGAGGAAAATCAGCAAAACACCGTATGACCAAAATAAGAGAAGTGAACCAAACTATTAGAAAATGTTGACTCATTGTTCCGAGCTATATCATTAAGAGACGCTAACAACCGTTTGTGGAGTTTTCTGTACAATATATGCAGCTTAAAACAAGCAACAAATGTTAGTAAAGCAAGATTTATACTTAATGAATCATCGTTTAGTGGTAATTTTACATGCCTCCGTGTATGTAGACCATATGATAAACAAAGTGACATATACTGTGTTATTGTGTTCTCTGAGCTGAAAGATCAAACTGTGGAGCTTTCATTGTCTGTTTAGACAATATTTCCAGTGGTGACTTCAACATAAAGTCAGCTTTTGGAATTCCCCATAGATCAAATATTCGTCTTTTCTTGTGACGTTGACTGTGATTGGTTGTCTCTGTAGATTTTTTTAGGATCTCCATATACATCCAACTGAGCAATTAATCTTCTGCATCATCATGAATTAAGTTCAGGCGCAAAAATAAGTGGGAAGGGTTTGGGAAATTGAAAAGGAAGATTTGGATTTATTCGCATCGCCATGCTAATAAACAACAAGTTATCGGAGATAGAATTCCGTGGTTTCAATTGTTGTAAATTTGATGATAATGATAATAGCAGGAGTTTAATAATAAAGATAAAGATTAAGCGAATTAGGGGTTGAGGGGAGAGGCAAGCAAGTTTTGTTAATGATAATAGTACTGATGGAATGCAGTTTTAACCATGACAATTAACAAGTTTAGAGGTACTAGCATAGCAGATTCAAAGCAACCGCCATTTCATTTTGCGAATTCACTCGGTTTATATACTCTAATATCATAATGATCTGCAAATACAAGTCTTCAACCTTACATACTTATAAAGCTCTGTGAAATATCAGCATCGACACAGTATTTCGGATTGTCGTTTTCAGTGCACACAGAGTGAAGAGGAAGTGAAGAGCCATCAAGTAGAGGAGTTACATTAGTAGAAGGAAGGCAAGATAATAGAGATGAAGATGAAGACAAGATGAGTGAGATTAGAGAGGTTCGCATGCACTTCGGATTGTGAGGCGATTGTTACTTCCCGGCTGCCCTCACCGTGGAAGTATTTACCAAGTGATTGAATCACATCTGTGTTATGAAGCAGACGAAATGAATAATTTGTACCTACTATTGAGCAGACTGCTGTATATTCAAAATAATCTGCCTTTTAATTATTACTGGAAATTCAAAGTGTCTACCTGTGACTTAAAAAAAACAGGTGAGAGAAATAGAAGAGAAGCTGGAAACGACTTTTTCTTCTATGCCTTTTCAAAATATGTAAATATGCGCCTCTGTATTATTCTGTAATCTCTCCCAGCCCTTTGCATCATTACTGTTTTGTTATGGTTAGCATTATTCTGAAGGCCACTACTATTACTTTTTGTTTGTTTCACAATTATTGATACGGCGGCCAGCTTAAATCAATGGGCTACCTAAATTTTCTATCCTCCGAAATGCATTGTGTTTACTCCGTTTCAGATTGTTTTAACGATCTAGTCATCGCCATGAGTCACAATTCATACTTGCGTACTATTTCAAATAAGTATCTATCTACCGCTAGTAATTTTTCGAAGGAAACAAAGGAATAATATTGTAAATTAGTATTGGAGCAAGTTTCGGAGGGATTAATATTTGTTCAGATGGTCCGTTATCGATTATTATATTATTTGTCGATCCTGCACAAGGAGTAAATACCTCTCAGTGAAACTCTCTGAAAATTCTGTACTGTTTTTATAAACACATTTTTCAGAATAAAGCTATTATTATTACTTTAAAAACTGGAATCTTCTCTGGTAACCAACTTTTTATTTTCATGGTAACGTCATTGAATTCTTGCCTTAGCTTCAAATTTCTCTCATTCCCACCACTTCTTTATGCATCTGAACTTAACACATTTGCATATTTACACCGCTTGGTTAATTCGTTGTGATTTAAGTTAAAGAGATTTGGATCGGCAAAGAATATACATTTCGTAACTTCTCTTGAAAGCTGTACAGTTAAATATTGCTCCTAAAAGGTCATTGAAAAATTCCAATAAAGGTCAATTATTGATGAAAATTTTTAACAAAACAATAATAAGTTATGCATCCGAAAAAAAAAATAAGGATAGACTACAAAACTTGGCCAAGCAGTCTTATGTAATCTAAAGACAGTGGTGAATAGCATTCAGAATTGGTTATGATTAAAACTGACCTGTAAACGGCTTCATTACATGTTATCTGTGTATTCACTAATATTCCTGTAATAGAAACGTTATGTTACTTATGTAAAGATTTATTGATTCAAATAATGTAAATGTTGGAATACCAATCAGATATTTTCAGGGGTTAACATGCATACCAAACGTCCGATTCCTATTTAATGGTGAATTACATTATAACAATAATTTGGATCTTGATATTTCCTAGTGGTTAAATTTTTTGCCCATTTAAACAAATGATACTGATATTCTAATGTTGGTAACAAAATTAGTGTTTGGTTCGTGAAATTACTTTGCTTACTTCTGAGCGAAGTCTACATTTGATGCATGTTAGCTGGTTTTTCACTGATAGCTGTTCTGTTAATACTTGTTCATGTTTATTTATAATGACTAAAAGTAAGTTTAAACCAATCATATATGATTTGTTGCAAATTGCTAAACACATTTTAGTTATGATTAACAATGACACAACTCAATTACCAAGTGCCAAATTTTGTCTATACCATACCTACGCATTACATTTTATGTGTGGAAGTTTATGCTACTATCCGGTCTCCCACATGAAATTATATGGTGTTAAGATTTGAGAGAGAGAGCAAAGAGTGACATTACCAATTTATGAGATTTTTACCATATAAACGGCTACATATATTTGGAATATAAATGAAACCATAAATACAATTTACTTATATAGTGCTATTGTGAAGTGATGCGGACTGATTGGAAGTGGCCAAAACTAATCGAAATTGTAATTCAATGGCTGTAGATGTAGAAGTGTTTAGTCCTTAAATCTGGATTTATTTTACGTTGTGGACATGAAATAACCCCATTGAAAAACTAGTTTAACCTTGGGTCGACTGCCAGTCAATCAGAACAATTTATTCTCCTCTGACCTAGCCGAACTTTAATGTGGCTAAGCATGTATAAATATGATGTGTTTCTCCTTAATGAAAGTTCGTTACCAAGTCTCTTATCCTCTCTCCTCCTTACAGTAGTACTGTGGTCATAATTGAATGATAAGTGTTAATTATTCACTCTTCTCATTCCGCGAGGGCTTCAGTGGTACATCTCCATTGCACTCAGTTCTCTGCCTTCATTTTCACTGACTCCAATTCCTCTCCATATGATTTCCATGTTAAAGCGTATAAGTAACTTATTCATACAAAACAAGTACACGATTCAGAAAAATGGAAAATATAATTCAGGCAATCTCTGAACACTTTTTCGTTAATCTTAAGTGAATCATTCTTTGGTTTTCAAGTGACAGTGCACAAAAACTAAGTAGCACCACGGAAAATCTAAGACAGGAAATGATACACATAAAAGAAGCCTTGAAACTTAATAATTACCCGGATAAATTAGTCAGGAAATATGTAAGGAAATGTAAAAATAAAATAAATAATAATGGTAGTGATAGTGATAATAACAATAATAATGATAATAACAGTGATAATATTAATGACGACACCAACAATAAGGAATCTAAATAATCAGTAGTAATTCCATACAAGGAAGGAACCTCGGAAACCTTAAGCAGAATTCTTAACAAGGCAGGAATAAAAACGGCATTCAAACCCACAAACTCAATTAGAAACAAGCTTTGTCAGTTAAAGGATCCTGTAGAGCCTTTGAAACAAAACAAATTTAGTTTATCTCATACCCTGCAATGATGTCAGGTCAAATACATAGGTCAAACTAGTAGAACAGGGGCAGTCAGACTAGCTGAACAAAATCTAGATTAGTTGACTCGAATAAGATAGGAAATCTAGAGAATAGTTCAGCTATAGCACTACACCACATGCAATTACACACAACCATACAATAGGGTGGATGGGATAGGATGACAGTTTTAAAATCTAATGTAACAAGGTGGAGGGAGAGATTGATAACAAAAACTTCGCTTATTGAATCAACTGCAAATACGCGTAATAGGAATGATTCAACACCTGTCCCAGATATCTGGAAAATTCTACTACCCCTACAACAAATAGGAGAAGTCAAAGAAAACTATAAAACTCAAGTTTCGAAGTCGTGTGATTATAATTGAGAATATGTTTATGAACAACAAATTTTGTTCGAAACGTCATCCTGTAAATAAAACTGTTTCACTATGTGATATTTCTAATAAAAAAATAACTAATATGGAATTTCTTACTACCACAGTGCCCAAGTTTTACACATATATTAATTTCTGTTAACTTCTCTGTCTGTGTGATAGCTACAGAATATATCAACTTGAAATGATGTACTTCCTTACAATATGCTGCATATTCAGTCCTCGGATCCCAATAATAATAATGATAATAGTTGAAAATCTGATTTCACTTGGAGTCTTATGTGAAATGGAAATTGATAAATCCAGAATAAAAGTGTTCCAAACCGTTAAGTACTGTTTAAATATATATATATATATACACTCTTTTCATTTCCATACACACTATTCTCTTGACAATTTGCACTGGAACAGTAGGAAAACTGATTTGTTGAATTAATTGTGCATATAATTTATTTGTCACATTTTCTCTGTACTCGGTAGATTTCTGACAAAATTTTAGAATTCATTGGGAAAATTGTATACAATATGTGGAAAATGAAGATGAAATAAGCATAATTAGATGAAAGGCCTTAATAAAAGATTTAGGGATAATGGAATTTACGTG